GCGCATTTGAAAGTGTGTGGTGCAGTGACCATCCTTGTTTGATGGCTAGCCAAAATCCGCAGCGAGGATAACCAGAGTTCGCATGATGGTTATCACACATTACACATAAATCAAATGTGTAATGTAACAAATGTGTGTTCCAGTGGGAGGTTACATCGTATATTACCTTCGAAAGGGATTTTTTTAAAATAGCACTCAATTGGAAAGCTTTGCGAGAAGTGAGGGGGTGAGTAGTTGAATCCGTTCTTACCGCTGCACAGTTTTCAATTTGAACGGGGAGGTGGCTTTTTTTTCTCTGATCCCCCACCAGAAATCAAGAAGAGGTCATGCACCGACTTGTCACTGGGGCTATGGTCACCACTGCTTGAAGTGACGAGCCACTGGTTTTGACACGATGTCTGCATAGTGAGCTTGCTGAAGATGCTGGGCAAATCTTGTTGCCAAAGGCGTTTTACCAGTTTCCAATATTTCACGGAGGCCACAACGTTTGCGCTCAATGCAATAAACTTCATTTGGTGGAGGTGCATGTAAACCTATGGTATGTCACAAATGATGCTCTGCATGTCGAATGAGTTTTTTTTACCAGTAATACATGTTTGAATATTGGAAGTGTGATTCAATAGATACTAATAAGTAACTAGTCATATGCCGATTTAAAAACTGTTACTCAAGAAATGTAAAAAAAAATTATCGGGGTGCCATGGTGCAGAGTGCAGTCTCCAATTCTTGTCCACTCTATCCCACGGGCCTTTCATTGTGCTCTGGAGGGCTATTGCCAGAAACAGTGCCACTGTTAAAATGACGAATGTGAGTTTTCAGTCATTGTTAAGGTAACTGAGCTGGTTGTGGAAATTCCTCATTCCTGTGGTCTATATGAGTCTGTCCATAGGACAGCCATTGTCGACTTAACACAGTGTAGTAGTACCTGTTTATCGGTCCTTCGAGTGCTGATGGGCTTAATCGACAACCCTCGATGGAGAACTGAATGTGTAGCGTTCTGATTGCGAGCGGGGGGGGGGGGGCGATTCGACCACGGTGTGAGCCGCCCTAAAATTATTCGAGGCCCAAAATGACGCGAGGACCTGAATTCGCGAAACTGACACAGCAGGCGCTAATTTGAAAATGAACGTTCAAGCGGCCAAAACGGTGTCTAAAAAAAACCACCTCTAAATAAGGAGATAATCTGGTGCTCCCAAACTATGCTATTAAATTTCACCTCATTGCACAAACAGAAATTAAATACTTCAGAAACTAAAAACCGTACCCTAATTAACTCAAATATACGAAGGTCCTCTGAAAGAAGTTGAAAACCCACGTGTTTTTTCTCTCTCTATCCATATAACAAATAAACGCTAAACATTTACACTGTTAATAGGACATGGTACACACACCAATCCCGCAAAAATACCAGATACGTTTACTTTTTTTAACACGGGCCCAGCCCATGCTGACCTCACAAATTACTTTGTAGAGTCATGTGCCCTAGAGTAAACTTGTGGTTTTATGAGCAGGGCAGTGAATCGGGTGCCTGTGCTGTGATGGTTCGGCCCCAATTGCACTGGCATGCTATACCTTGTTCAGCCATATCCCAACATGTATGTGGTGATCATGTGTGTAGGAACCATTCTCCAGTACCTATGCTAGCACGTAGGAATGAAAACCGTTTGTCAAGTTATGGCATGGCTACTGCTGCTTAGATGAAAAAAAAATTATCTGAAGGACATTTATTCTTGTAAATGAGACTCTCATGGCACCACAGAGAGACACGTGACGCAAGTGTAACAGTCAGTGCACTGCTGGACAAGGCCCCCCCCCCTCTCCTTGGAAGTTCTGACAACACTTCACCAAACTGGTTAGTGCGAGTTGATAAAGGTAGGGACCATAGACGTGAGAGCAAAGGATTGCAGTACAATGATAGATTTTTGCTGCACTGCTTTTGCTGCCCGCCCACGACCTATAACAACCTGTTGTTATTAGACATGGTGGTCTCGTATCTTAGCACTACCCAGGCTCGCTCAACCCTGCTTCGCTTCCAAAAGCAGCTGAGATTGGGTGTATTCAGGGTCATTTGGTCATAGTCTTGGAGAGCTGAATGGCGTTCAATAGAACTCGCAAACGGACACCTTGTGAAAGACCCAAGGCAGGAGATGCCTGGGTTTGAACTTCCATGAAGCTCATGGTCCACCCTAAACCGCATCCACTGCACAAAACCATGGTATATGCGGATATCGGATGCACAAATGGAAAATAACATTCTCCACTGTTTGACTGCGGTCATCCAGAACAGACCGTATAACATGTAACAACGCAATGCCCGATCCACTAATAATTTGGAGACATCATGGCGATACATTCTGCTGCTCCTGACACAGATATCTTGCTTGACCACCTGAATGTGAAATTGTAGTTTGTTGCTCTGCACCTACATTAGCAGCCATACGAAAGAAGAACGTTATGGGCAAGTGATTCGTAAATGAGTGACAACATCCAAAGAGTTAATGAGTGCAGGATAAATGATTATGCAACCCCTTGAGTGTGGCTCCGGGCCCCGCTGTGCGTGTGTTTTACATGTGCGTGATGGTAATAAGGGTTATAATTGAATCTCTGCATTAGTGGGGAGGGTGCGGGGGATTGTATCTTGTTGTTCATCAAGCGTCTTTACTCGTGTGGCCGCACGTTCACTTATTAACGTTCGTTCGACATTGGCGGCGGAATTCTTTGGCCGCTCGGTCAGCGCTTGCGGTGGGGAGTAGTTAAGAAGGCGCCGACGCGTGACCACAGTCTCGGATGTGAAAGGATCTCGGCCCCAACAAGAAAGCGCAACGATTCCGACTTTTTAAAATGCACCCCTCCCATGCCCCCCCCCCCCCCCCCCCCCACGTTTGAAGGCCAGCTTCGGGAGTACAGTAGTAGTAAGCTTCTTCCACTGCGGGTTTCGCGATGTCTACCTGCCTTTGAGCTAATCGATGAACAAATGGGATTAGTGGTCCTCGGCTTTGTTTATCGTGGGGGGCTCGTTGGGATGATTTGATGATCCCATTCAAAAAGTGTCTTCATGCTCTTGGAGCAGTGTTGATTTCGTTTTAATGGTCCTGAGCCCCTGGTGGATGTAAATTCCACAGTTGTATGGCGGCTAATATTTTCATGCATAGGACAATCACTGCTGACTTCCCGCAAAAGCAGTCCTCTGTTTTATTGGTCCTGAAGTGGATGATGGGCTGATTATATCACCAACGGTGCAGCGAACAAAAAAAGATGAACACTTCATCAGTAACACTTGTCTTCAAGGAAAGAAGTATGATTGGCGATGTTTTGGCCAATGCCCGACTTCATTGCATGTGAAGAGAAAGACCAGAGAGCGCGCAAGTTGTAAGACTGCACTTGACGCCATGAGGCCTGATGAGCATTCCAATTTTTTCAGTAGTAGATTTGTCATGAGAGAAAGAAAGAGAGTGAGCGCTATTTAAGCCAAAGGCATACGAAGCATTCTGTACACAACAACACCTTTCAACGCTTACTTGCCATGCCATAGGTTTTCTCCGTGCATCTTTTTCAAATCACACATTTTTTCCCCATGTTCTATGAAACCCACGTGAGAAGTTACTCTGACCTCGTTGCACAGCAGGTGGTGTTGTTGTAGTTGTTTTTGTTTGTTCCACGCCGAACAAGTTTAGGTGATGGAATTGTCATTGGCAAAAACAGAAACACATTTGACCAATGAATTACAGCACCGTAGAGACGAGGACAGCGTCTTTCTGCTCAAGCGAACATGCTGGAAATCTCTGTTGGCAGCTCTGAGCCCAAGGCACATGGTGTTCAATTGAGTTATATGAACCTTATGGCGGGACCCCGGAGTCTCGAATAAACGGAAGTCAAAATCGCAATTAATTTATTTATTTTTGGCGACTCCGTCCCACCGCGCACATAAACGCTGCAACCCACCTGGTGCGGATCATTCTGTTGTCATGTCGTCCAAGCGCAAGCGAGGACGAATGCGCAGAAGGAACTAAACTTTTAAACTTTGGTTAGCGCATCGTTTAGAGCTCGTCAAGAGGAATAGGTTGCCGTATGGTTCGCCTTCAAAAGACATAAAATGACGTCGCAAAGCAGTTTATGCGAGAGCCGGGGGCTTATGGGACCCAGGGGTCCTGCCATAGGGTTCATATGGTGACTCCATACCAAGAGCATTTTTAAAGTGTTCTACAGGACAATCGTGTGAAGCATAAACAGCGCAAATAGAATCGCAGAACAAGAGAGGCCAAAAAAAAGCACGTGTTGTTGGGTGGTGGCGAAGTGACACTCGGAGTGGATTCATTAGGAACACTTGGTTAAATGGCTCTCACGTGGGCTGTTTATACCACAGATGGGCCAGAGGTATTTTGTTGATGTCGCTCCTCAAGCTGAGCTTTTGTCTGCTGTAGTTGCATCACCCCATCTCGATAGGCTGTTGTTTTGTGTCCTCTGCGCAGGTGTATGTACAATCCACCGTGTGGTCAGCCCTAAACGACTAGGATCTTTGAAATAGCAACGCGCAAAGAGTGATACTGCTCACCAACAGCAGGAAGGCACGGCTGCCATCATACCTTGCGTGAATGTCATGTGACCACCACATTACCGATAAAACAATCCCAGCCTTATCTTATTTCACTGCTGCCTGATGGGACAGCCACATTTTTTTGTGTTTGTTGGTGGATTATAAATTATATGGCCACACATTCCACTTACTTTTGAGCTGCCGATTTAGGCATTTTTGTACTATTACAGTACATTACCTGCCACAATTTTCGCAATGTTCTTCTATAATTGGGCAGTGGTTGGCGTGGTAATGTCTCCTAAATATGTCTTGTGTGGTTTTTTTATGCGTGTTTCTGTAATTGCCCGTGCGTGTATTCAACATGTGTATTCCATGCACGCACGTGTTCGCATACGTGTCTTTTTGCGTGCATGTGCCAATCGTGCGCTCACGCGTGTTTGTGTTCGCATGCTTATGTCACCCACAGCTGCAGGACCACGTGATCAGCCCAAACACACAACATGCCCAGCCAGGCGGCGCCCCAAGACCGGTAAACGCACCTCAAACACACATGCGCCATTGGCCAGCGTGGTGAAATACGGTCTATTTTCTACTGAATATTTTTATTTTATCAGGTAAGGCCCACTGAGCTATATAGTTATTTTTCAGAAGTTACCTGACCACAAATGATAGCTCAACACAGTGGCTTATCACATGGAAATTTATAGCAACCAAATACCGGAGAAAAATCCACACGACCACGGGGAGAAAGACACACAAACTCCAAATATACAGCAGGCATCAGGGTCGGGATCGAACCCACAACTTCCTGTATACCAGGCAGGATAGTGAACATCTCTTCACCGTGGGGCCCACAATCCTTGTGACTTACATGGCGTGGGGGGAAACTTCATCCAGCGGTGGATCAAAAAGGAAGCCGAAAAATAAACTACGGGGTACAGTTACGTGTTGGTACCCTGGCAAGGATGTCGCGGCATCGCGGGACGTCGTGCGTACGTGAGCACACACGCTGCGAAGAAAACAACCAGTCTCTTGTGAGGAATGTGAGAGACCCGGTTGGTCGTCTGTCTTAATCACTCATGGGAGCAGTGTCGCCATGGATGGACAAACCGAGTTAATTTCTTAGCTGTAACCTGACCCTTGGAGCACCCCTCGGTTGACTCGGTCTAAATTGAGCTCTTGGTTGCAGTCTGTGAACATTGGCTGTGCTACAGTGAGGCAGCCACGCGCGTGGAAGTCGAGGCAACACTGCTGCCTTTTATTTGTCTCGCTAGCCTGAACAGATGCTCGCAAACAGCACTTAAATAAACACGCAATGAGGCCTCATGCGGATTTCTTTCTTTTTGGCTGTAGTGAGAATTGAAAGACCCAGGTTCAACATGTACAGGAGTGGCTGCAAATGAGAATAATGATGACGATGATAATAATAATACTTTTTGGTTCTTTCGGTAAAGTCACGTTCAAGTTCATTTATTAGGTATAGCCCTGTGAGCCATACGTAGGTAGAACAATAATAGATCACGACGTTTCGATCGCAACACAAGCAATCGTCATCAGGTGGGACAACCACAGTGATAAAAAACTGCTGAAGTAGGCGAGAAATCTGCCGTGGCACGAGGTTATATAGGCCTCGTCAGTAGGGGGGGAGAGCGAAGGGGGGGAGGCGGGGCAGAAAGTGGACCCCGCAGCAGCACCCGGGTCACTGGAGTAAAGTGGACCACCGCAGCAGCAATGGAGAGATCGGCTGCAGTGGGGGGAGAGAGAAGGGGGGGAGGAGGCGGGGCAGAAAGTGGACCGAAATAACCAAAGAGTGGATTTCTGCAGTCACGAAAGCTTAAAATCAAGATAATAATCAGTTGTCAAACTACGCCATTGTAACTGTAAAATCAATTCTTCCATTGAGATTGATATAATTGATTCGGTGACTGCAAATGTTTTTACGGCCACGTTCGTGTTTGTATTTATGCACCACACCAGGTAGATTCTATTTGAAGTGTCAATATATGGTACTCATGATGTCACAGGCAGCTCCTTTTGAGACCTTTTCCCTGTCACCTACAGAGATCTCTGTGTGTGTATGCGTGTGTGTATGTATGTGTGTGTTTCTGCGTGTGTTTCCGTGTGTGTGTATGCGTGCGTGTATCTTCGACACGTTACATGGCCTCAAAGTAAATCTTTCCTGGCACAGGCGCTGTGGTGACATAACCGTCACTTAGTGACGAATGGTGGGTATTGGTATCTGTATGTTTCCATGTGTGTGTGTTTCCGCACGTGTTCCATGTATGTGTGTGTTGCCACGTGTGTGTGCATGTTCCTGCGTCTGGGCCTGCAGCTATCACCTCGTATGGATCATCTTCTTCATCCTGGGCCTTGGCTCACTGCTGCCATGGAATTTCTTTATGACGGCCACCATGGTGAGACCTCCGAGAATTCCCACATTTTTCCTGTCCCCGGCATGTTCCTGCCCACATATAGGATATAATAATAAATGTCAAGAATGACGTACGTTTGGTATTCCCAACATTCTTAAAACGCAAAGGCTGTCGCAAAGGGGTTGTTTTTTTTTACTACAGACAGTCTGCAGTAGGTATCATGCAGTATGGGGAGTTGTGGGTATGTATAATCCTCATTTGAGTAATTTTCAGGTGATTTGATTTTTGTTTTTGGGCCGTGAAGCTCACACACAATGCCCTACTCATTTTGAACGGCATCATGGGATCTTTATTGTCCACTGTGAAGCAGAGTACGAGCATTTTATGGTAACTACACACGCAATATTAACCAGGGTGGTCTGCTAGATTCTCACCGTGAACTTCTGCAATGAGCGACAATCGCACTACCACTGGGCGATATCGCTGCCCCAAAGTGGCATCGGTGACGTATGGATACATCATTGTCGTATAATATATTATGTGTGCGTGTGTGCAATTCCTGGTCCCGAGTAACATCAAATTTTACATTGTAAACCTTAGTTTAGAGTATGTGGTTGCGATAAAATGTCCACGTCAGAAGCCACGTTGTTGAGCTATCATTTGCGGGACAGTTCTGTTCTGAAAGAGCTATTAAGCTCAGTGCGCCTTACCTTGTAAAATAAAATTTTTTTTATCAAAGATACCCTTGTAAAAGAGACATTTGCATTTCAATAGGTTCTCAGCTGGTGAACTACAAGCTTCAAATCTAGAATGTAGAATGAACTACAAGGTAAGTCATTTGCAGATTAAGATATCAAAGTTGACCCATTTAATTTACAAAGCAGTGGGGCTCTGAAAAAAAATCGGAAATCCCATCCAAACAGTTGGCTACATCACTTGGATTGAGGTGCAAAATTTGGCGATGAGGTTGGTGGACCGTAGAGAGATCGTCGTGAGCAGTGATGAGTGCCATTCCAGCCAGAGGGCCTGCTAGCTGGTCAGGTTGCAGTAAAGCAAGAGGGTTGGTGGCCCCGTCTGCAACGAGGGTTTGAGTGCAAGTGGATTTCATTATGGTTATTCCTGTTTGCTCCTACACGATAATAACAAAGTGAATGGAAATTAATTGGCCAAACGTAAAAATGCAAATCCCTCCTGAAAGAGAAGCGAGGCTTAAGCTAGGCTTTTCAATCAATAAAATGCATATATATTATATTAATATTGTACAAGCAGTTATACCTGTTATGCGTAGTTTGTGAATGGATTAAACTTGGCAAGAGGTATTGTTTGTGTGTGACGCTTCCCGTGCAAAAATCCGTAAAATTGCTGCCAACTCCAGCGCGGTTGCTGCAGGGCTGCGTGGCTTTTCCACTTAGAGAACGTAAACAATGTATCTATTTGAACGACATCCAAAAACTACACGGCAGAACATTCTCTGAATGTGTTTATAAAAAGTCCGGGCTTGTATTTCCTATGTTGCAGCGCGACAAATCGCAATTTGGCCGCCCTCTGCTTGTGCCGCACCGCCAACATTTAACAAACATTTAACAGCTATGTGCCGAGGCCACGCTGCGGTTTCACGCCGTGGAGGAAGATTGATGGTCGCGTTTGTGTTTGTGGTGAAAGTTGTTATAGGGAGTGACGCTTCTCTGTGTGGTGAGGGTGTGATGAAGAACGTCAATAAACACGGCCAAAACGCATCACCTTCGGTGGGGGGGGGGGGGGGGGGTCTTCTCTCATCGTTAGTGGAGATATTGGGAACCTTTCACGAGAGGCCGAGCGAGATGGAGCATTCGGCAAGTTGTGAGTCAGTCGAGTGCTGCGTTCGCAGAAACCAGCCTTTTTGATGGACCGAATCAACCAAATATGGAAGACTAGAGTGGTCAATTTCAGCGTTAGGAAATGGGTGTTTGTGGCAGGAGTTTGGTACCACGTGGGTTAAAGTGTTGGAACTCTTAACAAAGCACAACAAGAAAGTAATCTGAGGGTGGAGGATGTGTGCAATATGATGGCATGACACAGTAAGCACATTGAACCCTGTAGACGTTATCAAGCAGGGAGGCAGAGGGAGGGGCATGTTACCCGGACAGATATTGGAGTGGTACCCAGAGATCGGTGGCCATGTGGTGGCATAGTTTGACCTTTTTTGGGTTGTTGTACATCAGTTTAGAGCTCTGGCAGAATGATTTTAAAGCTGAAGTGTGGTGGCGTCGTCGGAATTGGCCAGGATACTCTCTTTTAACTTGATCTGTAATGTAATTCATTAATATTTTTTTTGGTAGTGTGGGGGTGGTTCAAGCTCACAATCCAGTGACTTGGAGACTGGGATCATGCTGAGGTGTACGTGGGTAGCCAACGAGCAGGGTGTCTTCAGATGTACTGCATGGAAGGCGCAGTAGAAATGCTATTTGATGAGGATAATGAGAGGTGGCTGTAAGGAGTGCAGCACAGCAAATAGGACCGAGCAAAAGTAGCAAAAGAATAAGTTCTTACATGTTGTTTATCATTCTCGCCTGCTTTGTGAACTTGTAATGATGATAGCATTGTTACGCAATTTTTTGTTACGCAATTGTTCATGTTCAGTGGCGCCTTCGTGTGTGGCAACAGAGGGCAGAATGTAGAGTTTGTCCGTTCGATAAAGTATTGGGTCACGCGTGCTTCTTGACAACGTAGATCCTTGCACAACTAGTGCCATCGACGCTTCATTCATTATTAATTTGTCTTTTACTTTTTCACGCATTATTTTCGTGAGAGCACGGTCGGAGTCGCGTCATGAGATTTAGTTTGTTGTCCTTCCCTCCCACTCCCCCCCAACCCTAATTAGCACGGTTGGTTAAACGTACGTACGTGAGATGACGAATCACCCTGGAGTCATCGGAGCCTTGCGTCCAATCGGGGGAACTGCCACGGACGACGTTATTCCCAGTACTCTCTCAGATATACACTAATTATTAAAAATGGACCGTATTTCGGGAGAAAAGTGCGTGTGGAATCTCATGATCTTTACCTCCTGGCGACACTTGCGGACAACTGTCTTGTGCACGCAGTTCACCAGGCAGGGGGCATTCGCCAACGTGATGCTGCTGGATCGGTCCTGTAATCGGTCAATGTATGTTCCTTTTCAGTTTCATTTATTAGGTATAACCCTGTGAGCCATGCGGCTCTTGACTCGGGTGTAACCGCAACAAAACAAAAACATGAACAAGAAACGTCTTAAAGTGACTACATGCAACAGAAAAATCATGGAAAAAACAGCAAAGTAAAGTCCCGTGTAGCCAGTTTCCCAGCTAGTTTGCCAAGGGAGATCCGTGGTGCATCGGCACAGAACAAGAACAACACCATTGGTGATCCATACGGAGGAACCAGGCAGCAACGGAATGGAACGTGTCAGAGGTGCAGGCAAAAATAGTGCGGAAAGAACAAAACTTAACTACAAAATGGAAGTTATATTGCACATTCTTTCACAGATTCAATATTCTTGAAGTTTTGTGTGTACCATGCACCTTTCAATGACAGGTGGACCACCCTGCAGGATCCCTGCATAAATAAAGGACGTTGTTTTTCACGTGTAGAGTTCGTCTTCTATTGGGGCTCTGTAGGGCATCAGCGTGTGGCCGCTCGACAAATTAGCAGGACAGCCAAATTCGACGTAATCGACGCTCCATGCTACGTGTTTAATCAGAATCGGAATACTTATTCATACCGGAGGAATCCGATGAGCTGCAAAGCTCTTTTTTTCCCACAGATTTGTGTGTTCGTATCACAGCAGAGCGAACGTTTGCTTTTATCTCAAACCCCTATCATGCGCTGACCTCATGACGTGTTGTATGAGTGGCAACCGGTCAAAGAGCTGCAATATGTGTGAATAATCCAGCCCCGAGCCCTTATATATTTTTTTCTAATGAATGGCAATTGTAGTTTCTTCCCCACCCTACCCTGAAATGACCCAGCCACCGTGCTCCCCGTAGAAGAAACTGCGATTGTGCATTTTCGGGTGAGGCCAGGGTGACAGTCGTTCACGAGTCTGTGCGTGAAGATTCGCCCCCGGCCACTGACGGCGCCATCAACTGTGCGCCGTGCGTGGACGAGATTTGATTGAATAATAATATTTGTAGAGCCCCAGAAAGGCTGTGGAGGTTTGCGATTCGGTTTCTCGCAACTTTTTGCAGTCTACTCCTCTCGTAGAAATACATTTCCATAAATAAGCTGCTTACAAGCACGTTTCGAGGCATGAATTGCGTGTGTGTGTAGAAAACTGTTTTAATCAACTATGTTTATAACACAAATGGTGGGAGGGGTGGAGCAGTGGTTGGCTCGATTGCGCTATGAACCCGGCCACCTGAGTTCGAATCCTGGCTGCAGCTAACATGAGTGGAGGGTGACATCTGGACCTGTCCTGGACCGTCCGGCATCACCACCACATTGGCCAGCGGGGTGGTGATGGTGTGGCAGTCAAACAACCCCCATGACAAGCACTGCATGGGGTGGCCTTTATCCCGCAGTGAATTGACAAAGCCTTGCAAGTTGTTTTTTTTTCGTTAGTTAACGCACTGAGATTGGCTCATAATGAACATGTCTCGAGACTTAAGGTTGCACCGTTGAGCTGATGGGTTCTGCATTAGACTCTAGATACCCATAATTAAATCGGGCTACACGGAGCATCAGTGTCTGCACATCCCGCACCTCTGATTTAGCACGGTTGGTTTCGTACGCTACAAAAGAAATTCAACATACGTACAGACATAAGGGGTAATGACTACCAATCCTGGTGATGCCCACCACACCATGTCATCGCTTCCCTGCTTTGAGATTCTGCAACCCTTGCACAGTTCACGTCTGACGTCCACAGTCCGATGTTGTAGTCCATCACCACCATTTGGGTCACTGATATGTGGATGCTGATCCATTTTCCCTGTCTGAGTAAGCGGCCCTCCTCCATCCTGTGCACGCAACCCCACCCCTCGTAGCCGCCTGATAACAACAGCCTCAAGCTGCTGCTCTGAAAGTTCTGGTTACAGTCCACTGCTGAAACTTTCCACTATTTTGGATTTTACCAGGCAAGGCCCACTGAGCAATATAGCTCTTTTGGAGAAGCAACCTAGCCACAAATGAGAGCTCGATGAAAGTGGCTTATGTGTATCCGGAGAAAAATCCAACCATGTAGAGAATATGCAAACTCCCCTATAAACAGGCATCGTCAAGGTCCGGATCGAATCCACGACCTCCTGCATATGAGGCGAGGGAGTTAACACCTCGCCACCACGGTGCCTGTGTTACATGACCCTCGCCTCCACATTGCTGGATTGCCCTTGTTTATCCAGGCTGGTCACCTGTTCAAGCACTGTTCAGGCTCAACGCCCGGGTTAACTTGAGAAATCTGACAAGGTGGGGCACATTCCAGTTGATTTTGTCATATGCGATCCGCACATACTCATTCTGAAATGGCAGGAGCTTCGTAAAGCACGACATACTGGTTTTTTCTCTCTTCACGTAATCTATCCCAGCACAGCCCTGAGGATGAACATCAATGTACGTCCATAAGAGGTTTTTTTTTTCTTTTGGGTTAGATCGCCTAAATATAAATGTGTCGTTAAACCCACCACCACCCGACACAGCCAATCAAGTAAGGCTTGTCACGTAAACAAAACATGGCAATTAGTTACTAGCACACCACCGGTGTGTTGGAGAATAAAACCCTTAACATTTACAATTCGAGTACGACATTTCGCCGGCAAGTGCAACAACCAATCCTCCTGCCTGTTTCGGTCTTAAATAGACGAGGGGTGAATGTGATGACGTCCCTTGTGAGCCAATCGGGTGCGAAGACCAGAGGGGGCGGGGGGTTAAAGTAGTCAGAAATTACAATGGATATCTATTATCCGTTGGGTTATTTGAGGTGCAGGGGGAAGGACAAAAAACTGAACACAAGCAGTTCTAGATTTGAAGCTTTCGTGACTGCAAGGATTCATACTCTTTGGTTTTTTCGGTAAAGTCACGTAGGAAAAAAAAATGTAATCACGACGTTTCGATTGCAACACAAGCAATCATCATCAGGTGTAACAACCACAGCAAGAAATTCTGGCCGTTGCTTGATGTCACACCTGATGATGATTGCTTGTGTTGCAATCAAAACGTCATAATAAAAAAAAAAAAAAATTACCCACGTGACTTTACCGAAAAAACCAAAGAATACAAAAGCAGTTATAAAGAAATTAGTGCATAGCAGCAGTAGAGCGAGCGGCTCGCAATTGCGAGGTTGCGAGTTCAAATTCTTGCTGGGGATTAACTTGGCCTCTCAATCAAACTTTCATATTGCACCCTTCAGAGTGAAATTGTCGCAGAGCGCTTCACAAGTAAGCGTGACATCAATAAAATTTTAGTTGCAAAAAACAATGGAAAGTATCAAATTTAGTTAAAATATATCAAAGACATTATAAAATACACCTTGAACCTCTTTTTAAACACCGTGACACCTTGTCAAATGGCGTTCATGGTGCACTCCACATGAACACAACGTCGACCGGTATGCAGCACTGTGAACACCATATTCGCTGCACGCCGAACACCCTACCGACTCCACCATAACACCGCACACGTCACGAACACCCTAATCGCAGAGACGCGTGATTGTGGGGAAGTCAGTCGTTGTCCTGTGGATAATACCCTCGCCATAGGAATGTGGAATTTTCACCACTGGCTCAGGGCTTTAGACAAGAGAAGAGCACAGCCTCAATGCTCAGAGTAAGAAACCACTTTGACCTTTGACTTTCATGACAGAGCAAGAAGCACCACCTAGCATGGGACATGTACGTATGTGTATACGTTGAATTTTTTTCGCACCGTACGTAGCTAATCATTCTAATCAGAGGAGCGGGGGAAGTACAACAAACTAAACACAACAAAGCTATTCAAAAGAAATGAGATTTCAATCTAGATTATTTAAAAGTGCATAGCTCCCAGTGGCTTTCCAATATCGGAAGGAAGGGTGTCCCAGACGGCTGCAGAAACGCATCTGAAAGTGTGCGATGCGGTGACCGTCTTAGTTCGATGGATAGCCAAAAGCTGCTGCGAGGATGAACAGAATTTGCGTGATGGTTTATGCTTCTTGACGAGATCAGCGAGGTATCGTGGTTCATTTGTGACAAGCACTTTGTGTGTAATGAGTGCGAACGTATAATGTATTCGTTCAGCAACCGGAAGCCAATGCAGCTCGACAAGGACCGGACGGACACGGTCAGATCTTACAGTACCTATCGCAAACACGTGTCAAAGGATTTTGGACACGTTGCACCTTGCCAATATTTTTCCAGACGTTCAGTAGAGTATAAAGTTGCAACAATCGAGCTTTGTCAAGAATAACAGTCCTCGACTTACGAACGGGTTCCGTTGAGAGCCGTTTTGGAAGTCGAGCATTTCGTTAGACAGAACGCAATAATGTACCGTATTTTAATTGCCCATATGGTCACTGTTATACAATATCTTACGGTTTGACAAAAAAGGGAAACATTGTTAAACTCATAAATAAGAAGAAATATTGTGTATTTACATGTAATACTGTGATAAATATTCACTTGCAAATAAAACACAAATAAGAAAAAATTGTTCCGCGAGTTTGCTTTTTAAGTCTATATTAAAAGTAAATTCAATAAACTCTCTATCTTTGAGGGTTACATTTTCTCAAACTTTTCACGAATGCAGAAACCTTGTCCCAATAGGACAAACTGGTGTTACGTTCCTGGTACCAGTGAACATAAGGGGGGAAATAATAAATCTTTAATAACGATGACTAGAATAAATCATTAATAACAACTTGTTAAAGTACTTTTGATGATGATCATTTGATGATGTTGGAGGCAATGGTAACGGGCCTCACAGTCTACTCGTTTATACCAAAATGTTTAAACGAAGTCGACTGTAAGTGCGTATAAACTAAAACAAAAATGCCCAATAGCGAGTTCAGAACGGGATTTCTTTGATACTGAGGACAAAGCGGGGCAGCCCAGGGAGCGTGGCTAAATCCTCGGAGACCGTTTCAAATGTAACAACATTCTGCGCGCGCCTCCCCAGTGTTGGTGATCTGGCACTACGTAGTGCACTCGCGAACGCTGTAGTCTGGCGGGTCGCGACTAGGGAATTGGTAGACGCTGAGTTGCTCGCGCAACTCGCGAATCCAGAACTCGCTTATAGCGAGGTTGCGGATGTTCGTAAGTCGTGTGTTCATAAGTAGAGGACTGGTTGCTCGATGCTGCATTGCACCGTGTTGGCTGTCGTGACTCAATAGCAGCCGAATGTGTCGTAGAGCCCTGACATGAAAATTGCAGGACCTGATGACATTTTTGCACGTGGCGATTAAACAACATTCTGACCGACTATGGTGCTGAGGCTCCTTAAGACGAGTAAAAAACTGAGTCCTGGAGTCTGTGAATGCCACACCTCGCCTGAGCACGAGTACCAACCAGCAGGAACCTCTAGTATTCCTGGTTTAAGCAAAGGGACATGGGCTGAGATAACCTCGAGATCGTGTCCTGCTTTACAATCAACCCAGTTCCTTGTTCAGAGACAACATTTCACAGAAGAGGAAACCTGAGTGGCTGGTAAAAACCTGCGCCTAAAGATGGGGGCATGAACCCGTTTGCTGTGCTGTTGCGGATGCCTCACAGTCCCGCAGCGTGAATTTGCAAACTCCCAGCTTTGACGGCACTGGGTCACACGCTGGGTGCATCACCGCACCCAGCGTGGCGGAATCCATCTGCATTGGAGCCTTTGATATCTTTGAATGCATCTAACGTACGTACGCGTGTTAAACTTCGCACCATAAATTACTACGTGCCCGAGTGCACTCGCCCGCTCACCTGTCGCTGTCCCTGGCTCTGTTGCAGTACTTCAAGGGCCGCCTGCAAGACAAGAAAGAGAACGTCACGGCCAGGAACAGCAACGGCAGCAATGACAGCATTTCTGGTGCACCTGCGTTGGAGAGCGAGCTGTCCAAGAACTTTGACAGCACCATGACCATATGCTCCATGGTGCCTCTGCTCATCTTCTGCTGCCTCAACTCCATGCTGCACACGCTGTGAGCCTCGCACAGAGACACAAGCGCGCTCCCATGCCTACCGGTCCACCTCGCCTCTTGTCAGGAGTGGGGCAAGCCTCCCCTACGGAAGGGATGCAACCTTCCTTGTGAGCCCCGTCCTTGGCTTGTCACATAGCCGGCTTCCGCTACAGTGGACACGGTGACAGCTATCTTATGCGCCGACTGACACGTCCACATTTGAATGTCTCCCCAGCCAGCTGAGACTGCCCCTACCTCCCCGTACCAACCCACTTCCTCTCACCTCCACACCGTACCACTGACCACTCCCAACACCACCCCTCACCTCCACACCACACCACCACTCACGTACACACCACACTACACACCACACCACCACTCACGTACACACCACACTACACACCACACTACACACCACACCACCACTCACGTACACACCACACTACACACCACACCACCACTCACGTACACACCACACTACACACCACACCACCACTCACGTACACACCACACTACCACTCACGTACACACCACACTACACACCACACTACACACCACACTACACACCACACTACACACCACACTACACACCACACTACACACCACACTACACACCACACTACACACCACACTACACACCACACCACCACTTACGTACACACCACACTACACACCACACCACCGACCCCTCCAAACACCACCCCTCACCTACACACGACACCACCACTCACGTACACACCACACTACACACCACATCACCGACCCCTCCCAAAACTACCACTAACCACCACACCACCACTCACCACCACACCACCACTTACCTATCCACCACTGCACCACTCACCTACACACCACACCACCGACCCCTCCGAACACCACCTCTCACCTCCACACCACGACTCGCCTCAACACCAATAAGTAATATTTTTAAAAACTTTTAAACACGCTTTAATGAAATGTACCGTACTAGTAATGGAAGAACTCCACGACTCGAGGAAGTGGCCCCGAAGCTTGCCTTAACGTAAGGGACCATGGTAATTTACAGGCAACGTCAGTTGAGCGTGGACAATTAGACCCAAGCCGAAACATAACATATAAAAGCGTCCTTCACGAGCCTCCTCCACGGATGCCGATCTTGACACCGCTGGTACTAGTCATCGGCAAGTCCACTCAGCTCCACATCCTCCTGTACCATCTCTTCTCTAGCCCATGCCGTGCCTGTTTAGCCGCTTCTATCCAGCCGAACAAAAGCTGTTTAGGCATGCGGTGACTTTGCATGCGGGCTACATGGCCCAGCCAACGCAGCCTTGCTTGCCGGAGGAGCTCAGCGATGGAACTTTGTCCAGATCTTTCAAGTATTTGTGAGCTCCTCACACAATCTAGCCTGGTTAAACCCAACATGGATCGTAGGCAGGCCAGTCTAAATGTTTCTAACCGGCGAAGATGTTCCATTAGGGGGGCCCACGTTTTGCAAGTGTAGAGAAGGGAGGGCATGACCGTGGCCGAGAAGACCCGAAGCTTCGTGTGGAGCGACAGACCAGGTAGCTTCCACACAGCGTTACGCAGCCGATGAAAAGAAAATGCTGCTCGACTGATTCTGAGTGAGACTTCTAATGTCAAACCGGAGCCTGTCATGAGCATACTGCCCAGGTATGGAAAACTCTCCACTCCACAACTGCCCCATCACCAATTGGGAGTTGTGGGGGGGTGGAGTGTCTGATGGTACATATACCCAGACAAGTGCTTAGTTTTGGTGGGGCTGATAGTAAGGCCCCACCTCTTAGTGGCATGCTCCAGGTTAAGCAGCAGCACCTCCAACCCCTCCTCTGAGTGAGCAGCAATCACCAAATCATAGGCATACGTAACATGATTGACAACTAGGAAGCCATCCCTTGACTGCCCTCAGGCATTGATTAGCCTCCCATTGTATCTGTACCAGAAGGAAATTCCTCTGGTACAGCCATCGAAGGCTTCATGAACAACGTGGTCAAAATAGATGTTAAATAATTTGGGAGCCAGAGGAAATCTCTGTCGCACCCCAAGGTGAACAGGGAATGGCTCTTGACTCCCAGACACGTAGTTTTACTCGGGCCTGATCACCATGATGAAGGTCCTTAATGATTGTGAGCAGAGAGTCAGAGACTCCAAAAGCACGAAAAAGAACCCAGAGCACAGGCCTACTGATGGTATCATAGGCTTTGACCAGGTCAATAAAGCAAAGATGTAAGTCCTATTGGAATTCCCTACACCTCTGCTGTAGCAGACGGACAGAAAATATGGCATTTGTGCAGGACCGCCCTTTTCTGAAACCACAATGGGGCTCCGCAAGTCTCTCCTCAGCGTGTCTGGCAAGGTGATGTTGAATGATCCTTGCCAGGACCTTTCCCAGCGCACTGAGGGAGATGCCCCTGTAGTTGTTACAGTCTGTGCGATCCTCCTTTTTTAAAGAGGGGGACCACCAGGGCATCTTTCCAATCCTGCGGAACCCATCTAGTGGTCCAGACTGTTATTATAATGTCATGTAGGGCAGTCTGGGTACAAACGCCACCCTCCCACGGCATTTCGCTTGGGAGATAATCTCTGCCCGGTGCTTTTCTCAGACTCTGGATCGCCTTCTGTGCTTCCTCAATAGATGGCACCTCAGCCTGCCACTCACAGGGGGTGACTGCTTCTTTCAGTATTTGAAGCACGGTAGCCTAAGTAGGGTCATCCCCACTTCCCCATGTTTTTCAGGCTGAGGGATTTCCCCTCCCCAAGACCTCACAGAAATGCTGTGCAAATCTGCAAACCTATTCCTGGGGGTCAGAGATCGGATCATCTTTCTTTCTCCTAATGACGGTGATAGGTGTGGCGCTACAAGTTACTTCTTTGATGGAGTTAAAGAGCGATTTGTGATTGCGGGCTACTGAGGCAGACTTCATCTCATCAGCAACCCGCAACCACCACTCATCCTTGCAGCGCCTCGCGGCTCTCTGAACCTTCAAAAAAAGGCTGCAGTAAGCCTCCTCATTCTCTGACGTGGGATGCTGTAGACGTGAGAGTGGGCCTGTTCCTTTTTCTCAGCCTGCCTGAACACCTCTGTCAGCCAGGGTCTCTGGGGAGGTCTGGACCGTTTACCCAAAGCAGCCATTATAGCTGCATGAGCCACAGTCCTAAACATCGCCCATTTCCCTTCGGCATCAGGAGGAGTGGGGGACGATGCCAACCCCAGATACAAGCGAAGATGAAATTCTCGCTTGCAACTTTCATCAGCTAGCTGAGACCAGGCTGCTGTGGGTTGGAATGGGGTCCTGGGTGTACAACAACCACCGGAGTGGAAGAATGGCAGGCGCATCTTACAGATGACAAGCCGATGATCAGTGGGCAGATCAGCTCCATGGTAGGTCCTGGTCTCAAGGATATGGGCCCACATCCACGGTTACGTCATCATGTAGTCCAGCAGATGTTCTTGCTTGGACCTGGCGTGCATCCATGATGTTGTGTGGATGCGCCAATGATGGAACAACATATTATCGAGCTGATCTGGCCCATGCCTTCCAATCACTCCAGACCAGGTGCCAGCATCATGACCAACTTGGGCATTAAAGTCACCCAACATGATGACTCTATCCCGAGGGGCCACTTTAGCTAGCACCTGTAACAGGAGGTCATAGAAAGAAAGCATCTGACTCATCGGCCTTGCCTGCATCCCTCCACTGATGTTCATCTTCGGTGGGGGCATAAATAATCACAACCACCACTCCTCGCCTCTGGTTGATTGGAAGATGAGCTCAAAGTAGCCTGGACTTATAGCTTCCCACACCTCACCGCCAAGCTCCCATGCACTCTTCATTCTTTTGTTCAGAAGAAGGGCCACTCCCTGTTGTCTGGCAGTCTCCTGCCCCGAGTAGAGGACTGTCCACCCCTCATTGTGGCAGGAGCCAGAGCCGGTCCACCGGACCTCCTGAATACCACAGAGATCCAGGTGGTACCGGTCCAGCTGCCGACAGAGGAGTGGCAGCCTCTCCTCTGCAGTGAGCATTCGAACATTCCACGTGACCACCCGCAGTGGCTTTTAGTTGTTTCTGGAGGAACCGTGAGGGTATCGATTCAGTCTCCTGGCTCCGCCAAACGGGGTTTGGCCAGGAGATGTCCTAGACGCCTGTCTCCTCAGGGCCCCTGACACAAACGTGTTTGCATATTTTTCACGTAGTTTTGTGGTAATTAAATTGAAGGTGGAGGGGTTACCAGCCACTCACACCCATCCAGAACAATCCTTTGGCTGCTTTGGTGGCTACAAACACCATGAGGGGAATGGCCAGTCGAAATTGGCCCGTCCCCCATGGCACTGCTCATCACAGCATTACTGTCCGGCGCCAAACAAGGAGGTAGGGGGTTGTTTTGCCGGACTACACCATACCACCACTCAATTTGTGTCCACTACACCAGCATGTTGGACACAAATTGTAAATGTCTTGGTTTAGTCTCCAACTCACCGGTGTGCTGAAGTAGTAACTAATTGGCACGTTTTGTTTACGTGACTAATTGGCTGTGTGTGTTTCTTCCCACCCCCCCCGCTTCCCCCTTGTCTGCGGTGCAGGATCCCGATCAAGCTGCGCATCGTGGGGGGGCTGGGTGGCATCCTGATGATGTTCGTGCTCACGGGCATTCTCGTGTGGGCCAGCTCCCTGTCGCCCAGCGCCTTTTTTGGCATCACCATGGTCACCGTGTTCCTCATCAACTGTGGGTCCCCTCGCGCATTGCTCTACAGCACCACAGTCGTACAGCGCCACAGTCACACAGCAGCCACACAGTCACACAGCCTCACAGCCTCACAGTCACACAGCAGCCAAAGAGCCACACAGCCACAGAGCCCTACAGCCACAGAGCCCTACAGCCACACAGCCACACAGCCCCACTGTCATATAGCCCGACAGCCCCATACCCACACATCCCACAGCCACACAACCCATAGCCCCACAGCCACACAGCCACATAGCCCCACAGACCCACAGCCCCACAGCTACCCATAACCACACAACTGCACAGTCGCACGTGCACGTGATCACGGGGGATTCTCTCTGTCGCTTTGAAAGTTCTGGTTAAAGTCCAGTGCCTGGATAAGGACCTCCCGCACGCCGTGTGGGTCGTAAGTAAAAGTTGAGTAGCGTCGACAAGGAGGTGTAGTGTAATATAACAATGGACTGTTCTGCACTGCCCTCTGCTTCTGCGACGAAGCACAGACATACGGGAAGGCAGCCACGTGGCGAATCAGCACCAACAGTTGTCCAAGCTCCGCGGTCATCTCTATATTAAGATGTTTTCATTCAATTAATGGGTGTTGATATGTGTGGGAGGTAACCGGGGTGCCCGGAGAAAGCACACACATGCGAGGGGGCAACGATGTATCCCATACAGATGGTTTGCTCTTTGCCGTACCGCCTTCTCCTGGCGAGCCAGGGTATAGCACCTCCTTAACGTTCACTGCCTCGACAGTGCTGCATTACAGGCCACGTGCATAATAGCCACCACCGTTAAGCTGGTATGAACAAGACGGAGATCCGTCTTGTTCTTGATAGATGTTTGGGATGGGCCATGGAATGATCGGATCTAATTTGTGTGGTTGAGACTCTCAAGCACCCGACACAGACAAACGAATCAAATTGTCGCGTTTAAAATTGGTCTCGTGGTCTCGACGACACAATTTTCGCCAAATCTCTCTGAAGTTATCCCCCCCCGTAGACTGTTGGGGCAAGTGCTGTGTTAGCGAGCACCTACGAAAGCCAACACCTCACACGAGGAAATGGTGTGGCCTGCACCACGCCCGGCCTCCTTTGTAATCCCCCAGTGGTGATGTTTACACGCCGCACCCGTTACTCCTTTGAGGCCGAGTTGACCTAGGGGGGAGGCCCAGGACCAATTCATATATATTTGTCACTGTTCGCAGTCGTGAGCGGGAATCAATCACCGGGTTCATAGTGCAGTGTGCTAACCACTACACTCACGCCATATGCATACATACATAACATGAAAAGTAAATCCTCACACAACGCGTTTTAGCTGTAACGCAGTTCTTCCATTTGGCAACACTTATTGCGGAACGCGGAACGTGTGCCGCTGTCACACGGTTTCTGAGCCATCGACGACGAACTATTTTCTTGAGCTGCGCAGTTGAGCGGTGTGGTAATTCTGGGTATACGCGTGGAGTGATACGGCACGTGGTGGCATGCCTACAGCTCAGTTTTTTGTCCCGCCATAGGATGACTGCCGCAATGTGTATACGGTATTCCCTCATTATGCGCAAGCGATACGTTCCAGAGATGCATGCGAATAGCAATTTTTGTGGATAATGATATTGGCCTACGAATTACAGTAAATCAATACGTGACTACTACATCTCATCACTTTCTCTCTCATCCCTTTAACTCATCATTTTCTCGGATCACATTCTCTCTCATCACGTTCTTTCTCCCTGTCTATTGGTGCAGTCGTGTACAGTTCCAGATGCAATTCGCAAATAGCAAGTTCGTATTGGTATACTGTACAGTAATTCCTAGCATAATGCGTTTTGGCTTTACCTGGGACTTTTCAGGAATGCATCTGCAAGACTGACTGTAAACACGTTTTAAACATCACAACACGTCACTAGTTGTTGATGTCGTGCGTGTGCGGGTGCAGCGTTTGGCGCTGTGTTCCAGAGCAGCGTGTTTGGCCTTGTGGGACTGCTCCCCCCTGGCTACACGGCGCCCGTCATGAGCGGGCAGGGCATGTCCGGCATCTTCACCGCCCTCGCCATGATCTTCTCCATCCTCAGTAAGCACCTCGCCACATCATACAAAAACAAAGATCCCCCGTGGAGCCTGAACGGACTGTTTAGGGAAAGTGCTGTGAGCGAGCACCTGTGAAGGCTGGCACCACGCCTCATTTGAGGCTGAATCGACCTTGAGGAGGCCCAGGACTGGTTCAGATGATCATTGCTAGTGTTGGCTACTAGCGGATATCAAACTCACGTTGCCGGGTTCGTAGTGGAGCCAACTTTCTGTATTTCAGCCACCCAGCGCTCCGCTTTGCTCCTCTGCCCTCCGTTGTTGTTGGAGGGCGACTGCCTCCAACTGCCCAGTAGCATCCTTCATGAACCTCCTCCACAGGCAAGTCCAATCGGCTCCACATCCTTCTACGCCACATCAGTCCCATCTCTCCTCTAGCCCGTACCACGCCCGTTTAGCTCCACCTATCCGGCCGAACAAAAGCTGCTTGGGCATGCGGTGGCAAGGCACCTCCACACACCTCGTGACGACGCACGGTTGCACTTGACGCACGGTGCTGTGCCGTACTGCCGCACTGTAGTGTGTCACAGGACCTGTGCCATACCAACACTACAAAACGGAAAAAAGAACATGCCCGAGAAGACTTGCACTGCATTGAATTTGTTAGTTTCACAATTATTTATGTTGGTGCAGTATTCTCGATGTGTCTTGTGGCACAGTTGTTTTTGCACTAGCTTGCTTCATTGCTGTGCTTATTTTACTAGTTCCGCTTTCGTGATCTTCATAACCCCAGGTCACTTTCAAATGAGACTCATTCGCGCCACGCAAGTCCTCACCTGGTTAAACAAAACTAAACTACAAATAAACTTGAACAACATTTTCTGCCGTCGTAGGAAATTCATCGATTCATCAGTGAATATACATTTTTGGTAAACAAAAAAATATTCGTTGGTGAAAAAGGGGACAGAAGAAATGGGATTGAGATCCAGAATGGTGACGATTCATTGAACGGTTACAACCACACCAACAGTTTGGGTCTCCACGGTGACGGCGCCACCAAGAGACGCGCGGGAGACATGCGGTCGGATGCAGCAATGTCCCCTCGCCCATCTCCCTCCTCTCCCCCACAGGTGGCGCAGACTCTCGCTCGGCTGCGTTCTGGTATTTCGTGACAGCGTGCGTTGTAACGGCCATCGCCATATTTAGCTACCTCTGCCTGCCTCGTCTGGTGAGCCCCCCCCCACTCACCACCGCACCGATCCCACCACCCACCATAGCTCATTCCATCTCACTACCGCACCGATCCCACCACCCACCATGGCTCATTCCATCTCATCACCACACCGATCCCACCACCCACCATGGCTCATTCCATCTCACCACCGCACCGATCCCACCACCCACCATGGCTCATTCCATCTTATCACCACACCGATCCCACCACCCACCATGGCTCATTCCATCTCACCACCGCACCGATCCCACCACCCACAATGGCTCATTCCATCTCACCACCGCACCGATCCCATCACCCACCATGGCTCATTCCATCTCATCACCACACCGATCCCACCACCCACCATGGCTCATTCCATCTCACCACCGCACCGATCCCACCACCCACCATGGCTCATTCCATCTCATCACCACACCGATCCCACCACCCACCATGGCTCATTCCATCTCACCACCGCACCGATCCCACCACCCACCATGGCTCATTCCATCTTATCACCACACCGATCCCACCACCCACCATGGCTCATTCCATCTCACCACCGCACCGATCCCACCACCCACAATGGCTCATTCCATCTCACCACCGCACCGATCCCATCACCCACCATGGCTCATTCCATCTCATCACCACACCGATCCCACCACCCACCATGGCTCATTCCATCTCACCACCGCACCGATCCCACCACCCACCATGGCTCATTCCATCTCATCACCACACCGATCCCACCACCCACCATGGCTCATTCCATCTCACCACCGCACCGATCCCACCACCCACCTTCCATCCACTTCTCCTCCTTTCTACCCTCTCTATCTCTGTCTCCATCCTTTCATTTCCCCTCCAATTTCCTCTCTGCTCTTCCCTCCCTTTCCTTTCTACCATCTCCTCTTCTTCCACTTTCCTCCTTCCATCCTTCTCTTGCTTTTAATTTCAATCCCTTATTGATCTTCCACCTTTTTTTATCTTGCCTTAACTTTTTCTGTCGCCTCCATTTCTACTTTATCCCTCCCTCCTTGTTCTTCTCTCTACATATTCTCCATTTCTTCCTCTCTCATTCTCATCCTGCCATCCTCACCCACCCCTTCCCTCTCCCTTCTCTCCCTCTTTCTATAAGTCATCCATTTCTCCCTCGACCAAATGTTTTATCTTCCTGTACACTCCCCGTTTTATTTTTGCATTCACTCTCTGTCTCACGGCCTCGCCGCATCTGTTCCTCCGTGGTACGCACTCTGGCGTGTTGTGTCTTGGTGCAAGCTTAGTCAGCGTCTCTCTCAGATCGTACTTTTTGTTTTGCTCGTCGTCATCGTGTTCCTCTCTGCTGCTGTGCCTCTCCACCGCCCCATGCAGAAATTCGCCAGGTATTACCTGGACAAAGACAACCACCCCACCACCACGGATGACACAGAAAACAAAAATGAACACATCGCTAATGGTGGGTGACCTGCGTGCGTGTGCCCGTGCTTGCATCATGTGCGTTTGCTCGTTCGGCCGCTCAAGACTAATTAGAGAAACTATCGAAATTGAAAGAAATCAAAATAACTTTAACCGTTCGGATAGCTACCGCCTTACTTACTATTCTGGCAAATTGCCCGATGATGCTGGATGTAATTACCAGCGAAACGTTGTACCCAAAAATTGTAAATGTTGTGGATTCACTCTTCAACACACCGGTGGGCTAAAGTAGTGAACTATTTGTCTTTTGTCAACGTGACACTTTTTTACTGATTTGCCGTGTCGGGTGGTGGAGGGTTACGACACATTTATAAATAACACGATCTAACCCAAAAACTTTTATTAAGAGCTCTCAGAGACACACCGTGTTGTCTTCATGTATATTTATTATGAATAAAGTCGTTTTTGTTAATTGTCGAGTGTCAGCTCAGGTCTTTATCCCTCTGTGATTGTTAACATTAGTAACAATACGTGGAAGGTTTGTAGTGGGCATCCTGCAGGAAGACCGGCCACCGCTATGGGAATTTGGAATTTCCATCAATGGCTCAGAGACTGCGCCATTGATGGAAAGACTTTGACCATTTACTTAACTTATCGAACTTTGCCTGTATCCTGGGACCTCCTTTGCCAATACCAAAATATGAGAATAGAATTGAACTTGTTTTTGCTGCATAGACGGCTCGGCGAGGGTCTTTGTGCATGCGTGCGCAATGCTGCTTTGGTTCACTTGTGGGCACGGTGATCCTGGAAAAGCTGTGTTCAATTCCTTCTCATGGCCAACATCGCTGGTGAATATCTGGACCAGTCCGGGGGCCTTCCCTAGATCGAGACGAATTTAAAAAATCAGTAACCCGATGCGTTGCGTGAGCATTCGCACTTTGCTGGGGAGACAAAGGCAGCTGAGCATGGTGGTGGATACACTTCCCCCGCATGCGCCGTGCTGGCCTTCATACGTGCTCGCTAACGGCAACAGTATGCAGGCTATACGTGGGATCTATTTCTGTTTTATATATGTACACGTAGGTGTGTCTGTATTTCCGTCTGTTTTACAGGCGATAGTAAAGTAGCAGGGCCCCATCAGGCCTTCTTGAATCTGAACAACAAGGGAGAAGAGCCTCCTAAGCCCGACAGCATCTACATCATCTTCAGAAAGGTACCCGCTCGACACTCGCGTGTTATCTGCGCTGGCACCAATGGGCTGCTTGCTATAACAGCCACTTGCCCTCCACAGCCTTGCCGAGTCCTAACCCGTGGGGCGACGTCCGTTGTGTTTTGCAGATCTGGCCGATGGCGCTGTGCGTGTGTTGCGTGTTCTGGTTCACTATCGCTGTGTTCCCGGCGCTCACCGTGCGCGTCGCCACATTCAGCACCCACAACATGTGGAGTAAGAGCCCCCCCCCCATTCTCTCCCGTTTAACATGTTAGTCGGCTTTCACAACCGGTATTCATCCGTCATGAAGGGTTTTTTTTGGGTTAGGTTGTGTAAATAATAAATGTGTCCTTATTATGTTTCTCTCCTCATTAATAAAAAGTTATAGGTGTAGCTTTCCCGTGCACAGCTTTAGTGATGTGATTCAAAAATATTTTCCTGTGTCCCATGTTCAACAGGCATCTTTGTTTCTGTTGATTTACAAAACAATTGCACATTTCGTTGCCATTCTAACTTTTTTAGCCTCGTCTGTGTAATAAATCTAGGCATTTTATATTTGTAAAATGCCTTTATGAAGATAAGATTAATCTAGTTTTCTGAATAAACGTCTTCACGCTTGTTACATGCATTGTAACAAAAAATCGGCCATGTTGGTTTTAGCATCACCATGACGACTCGTAGAATAAATCAGAGCTCGCATTTACAGGGAAAAAAATTTCGCACCAAGTCTTGACGTTTCTTCCGTGTATCGCAGAGTCACGGTGGCGAGATGTTAACCACCTCGTCTGGTAAACAGGAAGTCGTGGGTTCGATCCCGATCCTAACGCCTGTATATTTGGAGTTGTAATGTTCTACCCATAGTTGCGTGGATTTGTCGGGTTCACCGGTTTTTCCCTCCACTTTTAGAAACATGCTTTTTAGAGTATTTGGCTGCTATAAATTACCACGTGATAAGCCACTTCGTTGAGCTATCATTTGTGTTCACTTCTCAATAATAATTACTTAGCTCAGTGGATCTTACCTGGTAAAATAAAAATAGTTTTAGAGTTTTAACTCTTATTTCCCTGGCTTTGCAGCCCATGTAAAACTAGCAGCATGGACAACAACTCGCTTGATGTAGTACGATTTGCCCGGTTGGTAATTTCAATTACCGCGTTTGCCCGCCCCCCTCGAACCCGTGCAACAGACAGCCTCTTCCTGCCCGTGTGCTGCTTCCTCACGTTTGGTGTGAGCGACTTCATGGGCCGCAGCCTCACAGCTGTCGTCATGTGGGTGAGTGACGTCCCACCCAGCGCCTCCCACCACATCCTACATCTGCCGCCCACCACCACCCCCTCCACAATTCCTCATTGACATCCGTGCAGAGCGCACGCGCCGAACAGGCCAGACCAGACGGCGGTTGGAGACATGTGTACGCGTACAACCCTTGGATGAGAGGTCCTTCCCCAAACTGTGCAGGTCATGAGGGATGTTTGACCATACCTCACCGTGCCGCTTAGTGCGAGTTAGATGAAGGCGGAGAGCATGTAAGTGCACTAGAGAATGCAATTATCTGCGCCACTCACAATTTGTCCGCGCAGTCGATAACACCGGAGTGTGCTCCAAACCTGGCGACATGAGTTTCATTCATTCCCAGCCGCTGCCAAACATCACTGGCGAATATATCCAACAGGGTCTCGGACCTGCGGTAAGGTTGAATTGGCCTTGCATGAGCACCCGTTGGTGCAGCTGTAAACGTCGGCACTGGGTAGGCCATTGGCAGGGGTCGACAACTTGTGACTCCGCATGCGGCTTTTTAAGGACTGCATTGCGGCCCTGAAATTCGAAAAAATGGCTCCCCTCTTGTTATTTTGGTTGCAAACTCCTGGCCATGGAAGTCCAGTTTACCTTGGGCAGGGTTTGGCAACTTGCGGCTCCGGAGCCCCATGCGGATCATTCAGGACCGCTTCGTGACGTTATTTATTGAGGGCCGTCTCGTATTCACATGCGTTGCGGCTTTTGAAATATTTTATTTTTTTGACCGAATTCGAAAAAAATGGCCGCTCTTTTTTTGATTGCCGACCCCTGAGGGCATAGGCAAAGCACGTGTCGACCCCACGCAAGCCCCTCGTGCGCCATGCCATCCTTCATAGGCGCTTGCTGAACAGCACTTGCCCCTCCGCAGCCCGTGTAGTCTTCACGGTGCATAAGGGGGAAACTTTGTCTTTCTTTATGCCTTTGTAGCCAGGGGAGCACAGCTGCTGGTTCCCGGTGCTGGTGGCGGCACGCCTGGTGTTCATTCCGGCGTTCCTGCTGTGCAACGTGACCCCACACCCCTTTGGCAGCGCCCTGCTGGCGCACGACGTCGCCTTCTTCCTCGTCATGCTGCTGTTCGGCATGAGCAGCGGATACCTGGCCTCGCTGGCCATGAGCTATGGCCCCAAGTAGGTGCTGCTGCTGCCACTACCGCTGCCGATGCGCCCGCGTCAGGGGGCAGCCCTTTGCGATGTAACCTCCGCGTCGGGGTTTAGCATCGCGCTATTACTACCAAGCCAGCGCATAGCGCTGCGCAATTTAAGCGTCTCCGGTTCGATTCCCGGTCAAGCGCAACGGCAGGAGCACCCGGTATCTGAAACTGTCTCGTGTTCCCCCTCGGTAGACTCGGCCCAAATTGAGTATCCTAATCATGAGTTGGTCCTAATTCTAAAAGACGCAAGCAAGACGAAGATTATCGGCCATGAGTGGCAGCGACCACACAACCCACATCTTGTAATGCGGCAGCCTTTATTTTGACCGTGTGCTGGGCGATCTGAAATGATTTTCAAGCTTCTTCCAAGGGGAAAAAGACTTTGAAGTACATTTCCAGGGTGCTCTGTGGCACCCGAGTGACATAATTGCAGTGTGACTGCTGGGCATTTAATGTAATGCCACCGGAATCACAGCAGTGTTTACGGAGTGTTCCTGACTCAATAAACAACAAACAAATATAATTCACAAAGCTTCAAACCCGGGTTCGGATTGCCCCGGGACACCCTACCAGCACATGTAGTTACAAGATAAGAGCCGTGTATGTTTTTGAAGCTGCATCTTTGCATGTGTGAGTGTATGTGGAACTTCTTTCACACCGTACGTAGCCAGGCGTGCTAATCCATGATGAATTTTTGTTTGGGTTAGATCACATATCAATGTGTCTTTTGGTAAAGGCACGTAGAAGGGAAATAATAAAATAAAACAATATAACTTATTTTATTTTTTATTATATGTTTTATTTTTGTTATTGTATTATTTCCCTTCTACGTGACTTTACCGAAAGAACCAAGAATATGAATACCTGCAGTCACGAAAGCTTTAAATCGAAAAATATCAATGTGTCGTTAAACCTGCCACCACCCGACACGGCCAAATTAGTAAACTTTGTCACGTAAACAAAACGTGCCAATTAGTTACTTCAGCACACCATCGTGTTGCATTTCATGCGAGCTGCGTACTAATCTTTGTTTCGCGGCTGCTCAACAATGACGCCCACCGGCAGCAGTACTTCCCGCGCTCAGCTAAACGGGTGACGTTTGTGTGTGCGCGCTCGCAGGCAAGTGGAGGCCCACAATGCGGAGACAGCCGGCTCGGTGATGATGTTCTTCCTGGCGCTGGGCCTTGCTTTGGGAGCAGCTACGTCGTTCATCATGATACAATGCCTGTGAGCTGCCAGTGCAGCACATACGGCGGGAATCGTCACGCCAGGCCTAACTGCTACACTGCCATCCACCAAGCCAATCGCACCCATCACACTGCCGCGCACACACACGTTCCGCGTCATGTGGTCCATCACGGAATATTGTTAGATTACATCCTGTGGTAGCGAGATGCGAATTCAATTTTGCCTGTTCGGAGGTCGTGGGTTTGATCATCGCCCTGTGACGCCTGTATATTTGGAGTCTGCGTGTCTCTCTCCCCATGATCCCGTGGATTTTTCTCTGGGTCGTCCGGATTTTCTCTCCACATTTAGAAACATGCGTTTAGAGAATTTGACTGCTATACATTTCCACATGATGATCCATTTCGTTGAGTTATCGTTTATAATAGCCAGGCCGCTTCTCAATAAGAGCTCAGTGGGCCTTACCTGGTTAAATAAATAAATAACACGTCATGTTTGACTTTTGTTTCGTATTTGCTACTGAAGGCCAGGAACTGGTTGGCTATCAATTGCTTTACTGCCTGAAAGCAGAACTGCAATTTCGATTTAAAGCTTTCGTGACTGCAGGGATTCAAATTCTTGGTTCTTTTGGTAAAGTAACGTAGAAGGGAAATAATAAAATAATAAAAATAAAACTATTAAATTATTACGACGTTTCGATTGAAACACAAGCAATCATATTCGTGAGAATTTAATTGTTTTATTATTATTTTATTATTTCTCTTCTACGTGACTTTACCGAAAGAACCAAGAATAGAACTGCAATTACCAATATTTTATAATTGAGTTTTATAAATGCTTCCCTTGGCTCCCATTCAAATATTTATCTTAAATGCCATTCTCTGTATTGTTTGAGACTCGAAGGACTTTTTTGGAGTCACGCGTTTGTCTCCAATACCATGCTGTGTCAAATGTAATCCAAACAGTGCAGTGATAATAGTTTATCCAATTACACAGCTCATTATGCTCTCTTCAAAATCGCAATTAGGATTTTGAGTGACCTGCAGATGTGTTTTTCTACTGGTGCTTTCAAAGTCAGAAATTGCAGGTAAAATCTGGCATGCTCGTACCCCTTTCCACATCCAGTAATGATTTATCTTGTTGCAGCAAGTGCCCGTAATTGAGTAGTGGCACGACTGTGGGCCAGAACCCATGGGGGCACCCACCCCGACCGCCCCCAGCGCTCCACTCCTTATGAGCGTGTCGGTAAACGCAGTTGCCTGCTTTACCGGAAGCTACACCACTGCCCCTTGTTCAATGTTTTCTGACTCCAAAGTTAATGCCATTTGTCAATAAGTTAAATCCACCCATCCCCCTTCTCCAAAACCAAAAGCAGCTGCAAAGGTTGTATATCCAAAGTTACCAAATCGCCCAGGTATATATTTTTTTGCAATTTATTTATCATACATTTTTGCCCGCGTACCTTCATCTCTTGTCGCCGTCTTTCTCAGTTGCATGTGCGTAACTCCTGTGGAGGTCCGCTTGGCCCGTCAACTTTCAGGGGCTGATAAAATAAGGACCTCTTTGTGGGGTGTCGATGTTGGCTGTCTCATGAGAAGGATTGGCCTCTGCCATTTCAATGTGGAATTTCCACGTGGCTTCGAGGTGGCCCGTGGAACGGAGACCCTCCCAAAATTTGTCAAACTTGTTTTTGATGACAAAATTTTATGTGTAATTGAGTTATTTATATTTGTTCTGGTGGTTGTGTAAATACAACCTTCAGAGGCTGCTTCTCTCTCATGCATCCAACAATGCTGGAAACGCGCACACACCTGTGCCTCTTAAGTGGCCACAGAGTCATCGCATCCAATGAGGTGTAAGTTTTCACCAAAGCCATTTATGTTCACGATAATTGACTATGTGTGTGTATACTGTAGTAAGCTTTGTGTTTTGTTTGTGATATAGTTTTGGTTAAACTATTGTTAGGATTATTTAAATGCGAGTTTATTTTATTTAGGGTTATACGCCAGGTTGGTTTAACATTTTTGTAGGATGTAATGTTTTGGTTTGGAGTGTTTTGACTACTGCCTGGATGAGAAACACCGAGTGCTTTGAAACAGCTCCAGGAGACCAACTCCACAGGTTTTTATTAGGTGAACACACCAGCAATAGTTTGTAATTCAGCCGGGCAACATTGCGCAAAAGGACTCTTGTTTTCACAATCGTTGTTTGTTAAGTTGAGCCTACAAACCTCCCGTAGCCCAGTAGAGTACCGATGTGTGGGAAGTCTGCAGTGGAGTGTCAATCGGAGGAATTGGACCCCCCACCATTTTTCATGGGAAATTCTCGCCCCGTGGCTTTGATCACCCCCCCCCCCCCCATGCTCATTTCCACAGATAAGCTTTATTTATTTATTTACGTTCAACTTTACTCGAGTCCCAAGACCCATTTCGGAAAAGGTGCTGCTCTGGGATGAATTGGGACGTTTCGTTTTTTAGCATTGCACATTTGGAAGGAAACTGGGATGCACTGCAGAAAATAGCAGTGAGTTGGAAAAAAAATTCTACTAATGTGACAGAAACAGCCTTCCAGCAAAAACATGAGATTTGGTCCCCAAATTTCCGTGCCTTCAATTTTAATTCCCCACCGTCGTAACCCATGCGGTTGTCCCTTAAACTCAGGTCTCCTGGAACTTAAGTTTCAAGCCACAAAGTATCTTCTTGTTGCCTGCAGCTTGGTCTTTAGGGCATGCGTGGCGTGTGGACATTGTACCAGCAGTCCTATTCTTTAGATGGCCAGTAAAAGGGAATTGAAAGTGAATTGTCCATTTTCTTCATTTAACTGCGGAGTTATGGACATTCATTTTCATTGGCTATCTAAAGACATCGGTACTGCTTTGTCTTTTTTTGGTGAAATCAAACTTATAATGCTAACATTTGTTTTAGGTTTTTTTTTTGCAAATGCTTGGATAAAAAAAAAATATTTCATGTATATGCTTGCAAGTTTAAAGTTTTCTGTAAAACTTAATTTTTTGCAGGTATAAAATTTTATACCAAGTGAAGAAAGTTTAAGCCTAATAAAAACGCACCGCATCAACTCGGCACGCGCAACTTGCAACGGCCACACCAACTGTTACAGATGGTAGCATCGAATGTGTCGTGATATAAATCGGCACTGATAAAAAATCTATATTTACGCTAATGTGCGCGAGGCAGTGCCGTGTTTGGGAAGTGGCCCAGAGCATATTGGATCGTTCACGATTGCTGAACAGATGCAACTTGTCAGTACCACTAACACGTGGCGTGGCGTTGGCGGTACTAGTGTTTTTATATGGCTAATTAAACGTGAATTTCATGATTTTTCTATTAAAAAAATAGCAGGGACGTCTCTTTAATTGACTTGTGTTGGTCACTTTAAGACTTTTAAAAAGGTGAATATTTCTGCAGCACGGATGACACCGATTCTGAAACGTGTCATGGACTCTGGATCCCAGTCCGGTAAAACTGTGTCATGTCTACGGTGTGTATGGCTGGATACCCTTGGATGGGCTTCCCTTAAACGCTTGCTGTTCAACCAAAGACCCCCGTAACAGTATTCAGCACCTGGGTGCCGCTTAACTTTCTTCACAAGGTGTGTTTTTGCCCCCCTGTCTGCGCTAATTCAATTTACAGGTCACATACGTCATATCTGAACCTGTTTTGAGGCCTCTGCTACATTGACAGCCTGAAATGAGGACCTGATACTGTGTGTAAATGTCGATATTGGGGAAACAAAGGTGACCGGGTGTGAAGCTGACTGTGCTCCGCCTCGTGTACTGTGCCGTCCTTCGTACATCATATCCAACAAATTATTGCTATAGTCTCGAAGGGTAAATGGCGAGGAATCTTTTATTTTCATGTAAGTGTGCGGTGTGGGCACGTGTATACCAGTACGAAATCCCAAATTCGCTGCCAATTTCATAACGCGCTCAGTAGCTCTGGCGAGTTAAATTCTACCTTTGAATCGCTGAATGTGAGCATCGCTGAGATTTTGTGTTTGAATCTCGAGCTCCCACCAGACATTAAAACCAAGTGCTCCATTGCAGCGAGCTGCTGGGGTCCAGCTCGACCATCAACTGCGCAGAGAAAGCACACCACCTCATTGGTTATACGTTTGCTCAGCCCAACCGAGGACTATATCCATGCGACAGGAATGCCAATCTTGCGGTTGCAGTGACACCCGCGCGTGGAAGGAACACCGAATTTTGAAGTGGTTCCATAAAATCTTTCCAGGGTCCTTCTACCGAGCCGCCATTGCTCGGCATTAATGTGTCGGGCGTTTCTCAATGGGGTGGTTCTTCCCCTCGTACACCGACTGACGATGAGATCGCACAATTAGTGAAATCCAAATAATGTATTCGGTGCTTCACAGGAAGCCAAATCTACCATGCCCCGTGCCAAAAGCAGACTTTCGAAAACGCCGAAACGGAAAATTCCGTATTGGTCATAGTTTTGCTTGATAAACGTAGTCTCATTTTCTTAATTCGGTGCAAATTCACAATTTTGAGGAATTGGGGATGAGCCCTTCTGAGCAGATTAGTAGGAGTGTAACGCCACCTACTCAACATCAGTATATATGTGTGTGTGTGTGTGAGGAAAGTGCTTTTTTCACCTTGTACAGTCCGGATGGTCAAACGAGATTATTCTAATTAACAGGAAGGAATTGCCTCCGATATCATTGGCATCAAAAAAACCACACAACCCACGGCACCTGTTCTTGAGATGCCCTCGCCTGTTACTTTGTCCGAGGGATCCCGATGCAGTATCTCGATGGCTTGGGCGATCCTCGTCTGTTGGGTCAGACTCCCGGTCCAGCCGTGCAGGGCATTCCATTGCTGCTTATTGTCGCATTTCAGAGTATTGTTAAGGGAATTTGTGTTTTTGAGGGTCCGTGGGATTTGGTTGCAGATTGAAGGCCGGCGTTCGCCATCGGCTCTTGAGACTTAAGAACCATTGAGGTTCCGTGATACGAGCGGCAGGATCGCACACGTGTGCTTTGTTGACTCGCACTCCACATGATGCGAGTATTTTAACTCTCCTTGACATGGAGTTCACGTTGTGGATCCCGCAGTCGGTCTGCTTGGTGCCAGGGTTTGTGCCGATGCCTCATCTGGGACTCTCCCCCCTCCCCCCCGATCAGGGGTCCATGTCAACCGTGAGTTTGCGGCACTTGGACCCAGCCACCACGCAAATTGTGACAGATGTGATTTGTGCCTGCGGGTTCACGTGCTTCAGGCAGTCAGGTGGGCTTGCATGAGCGTGCGTTTGAGTCGCACAGTTTGTAATTTGCTCAGGGACCATGTAACGCATGCATTCGGGTCTCTTGGCACCAGGGCCGTATGAATCGTCTCGTTAAGTCCCATTACTTTGGTCCAAGTAAACTAAATCAGGGTCTCTCCAAACTCTGGGTTCGTGTGATGTAAGGGGGTTGGATTGCCGTGCCTCGGGAACCTTATGAACAATGTATCCCAAACTCCGCAACCCAAGTTTTAATTTAACGTGTACGTTATGTTTGGTGTGGTACTCAGTTTGGGGACTAATTAGCATCTTGACAAATGTAACTTTTCGTCTGATTTTTTTTTTGTGAAAATGTGCTGATACCTCCCATTGCAAAGAAACGGGTAAACGTCAGAGTGTTTGCTGTAATCTGCGCCACGTCAATATGTGCGTATCGTACTTAATCTGCATTGAACGGAGATGATTGATACACGTGGGAACCTTCTCCATGGAGGATGTGAGCAAATAGCTGGTGTTTGTAGGTGCAGGTTCGTGCACGCGTAAAGAGAGGTTACATTTTCGGGCAGCCAGAAGTGCCAGCTCACCGTTGATTCGCAAATGATAGGGAGGTAACGTGTAATAATTACCAACGCCAACCATCATTGCAGGAGGGATTTTGAGCCTACACGTAAAGGCATGAATAGGCCACATCTGGGCCTCTGCTATCATTCTGATTGCACAAGGCCCCAATCGCTTCAGGCCGCTTGCTGGGCACGATCATCCCGATTTGTGATACGGTGGACAAAGGCTTAAACTTGACCCATATGGCAAAGTGTCCGTGCATCTGACCACACGTGGACCATGTTGTGATGTAAACAATCGTACAACAGACCAGGTGACCGGGAGAATTATGCCGGCGACGTATAAACTCCTGTGGTGAGTGTAGAAGGGACTTTAATGCAAACGTCTCCCTCACCTTTATCTGTGGGCTGATTTAAAGTCGAGCGTTGAGTTATGCTTCGGAAGTGAGAATATTGCTCAAATGCCTTTCTGTCTTTAACTTATTCATCCAAATGACGAGATATATGCAAAACAATGTCACTTGAAACGAATCGGAAATCACAAATGCTTTGTACATATACGATGTGTACGTTTTCAAAAAAAATGCAATGTCTTAAAATGCGGAACTTCTAACCGTTGTTGGAAGATGGCAAATGGTGCGCAGTGACCGAGAAGGGTTTAAATTGATTCTTCAAAATTTAAACGTGGTCCAAAATGGCACGTTTTTACTTTTTTTATAGCAGTAAGCCAGAGGAGGGTAATTTAGGCCCTGCAGTTGTTGGACGGCAATTTCTGATGGACCACGTTGCGTTGTAAGCTTTTGTTTAAGTTGTAACAGAATGGTAGTAGCACGGGGTACAGCTGAAGGGAATCCACTGAATGTGTGCCTCTGGCAAGTGGCAAACTCGTTCGGAGGTGGCTGCCATCTGCCGATACGTGCCATCTGCTCAAGAGACCTGTCGGAGATGCACTGAATAAATTGGGTTAAAAAATGTATGTAAGTCAACGTCATGTACAAAAAGCATAGGCCTTCCAGAGCAAGTAATGCAATAAGTCAGCAAAAAATATAGCATTAATCTGTAAGGAATCGCTGTGTTCACAGTGAGTTTTTACTTAACCCGTTGAGACGGTATCTGGTTGACTATTGCACTAAAGAACCATTGGCCCTGCGCATTCCACTGCTGGATGAGTTATGTAGCAGTGGCACCTGAATACCCAACAGCACATTTAAAATAGAACCGTTTTGCTCCACATTCTCGAGACACGCACATCTGGTCCGTGAGCTAAATTTCATAACTTGCCGTGGACGCCAATGGCCTTTGTTACTTGGCCGAGCCGCTCAAAGACTGACCTCACTTAACTGAGAGCTGGGTCAGTAGAAACGAGCACCATTAACGACAGGGGTTAGGAAATCTGTTCAATTACTGCTGGTCATCCAAATACCTTTTGGTGGGCCACAGAGTAACACAAGCACCTCAATTGTCACTGCAAGAGGGCTTTTGCCATGACTAAAAGTGACTTGAGGCCACCAAAATTGCAAACTGTGCTGCCAGATCAGAAATATTTCTGTCACATGTACCTAAAATAGCGTGCTTGCGAGAGAAGTGTCGGTTTGCAGGCCTTTCCAAGTGGTTGGAGCCCTCGTGTGCCCGTGGGCCGGGCCGTATGAAATGAAAACGTGGGGGTGGGGGGAGGGCTTGTTAGCTACCTTCTTCTCCACCCCTGATGTACGATGTTCAATTCCAACAGCTAGCTCAGGGCCTCCGACAAAGAGATACGCTCTTGTTTAGAACATCGGGACAGTTTACCTGATTTCATTTATGTATTGGAATTACGTTAAATTATCATTTTTAAAAGGGAAAATTATAATGCAAAGTATTTAACTACAATCATATCATTAAGAAAGAACATATGCATTTAGTGTTGAAGGCATTAGCTGCTTAAAGCTGTAGCTTGGTAATGAATTATTTCAACTATCGCCGGTTTACATATGTTTAAAGTTGTAATGAACATAATTTTAATACGTGCAAGCGTATTTATAAATCACACAGATGTGTGTTTAGTTCACAAGTGTAGGTACTTCATTTTAAAATACGCATCGGTTCTATATGCTGTGTACACGAGTAGAAGGCAGTTTATCAACTTTAAATTGGTCAACTCAACATGAGATTCTGTAAGCTTGCTGGAGCCGAAAGAGCATTTCGCTCCCCGCCATAAAGTTTCAAGTTCAAAATCTTGGTTGATGGTTTGTCTCCGCTCATCGACAGTGTATTATTGAATCTGAACCCTGGAATGGTAATGTAGAAGAAAATCCACAACCGACTCGTTTATATTCATTTTCCCAATATGAAAAGGAATATAAATAATCCCCAACACATTTAACCACCCATCTTGTATTTACACAGTTTGTGGCGCATATTGTTGTTTTTATATAGATGTTTCCAGTGTGTTGTTTGTAAAAATGTTAAGTGTTTTTATAGCTCCGTTGATTCAGAACTGCAGTTAAAAACTATATTTTATGACGAATGGACTCCATTTATTGATGCATTTTCTCCTTAAAGTAATGTGATCCTCTTTAAATTCAATATTTAATTGCGCAGTTCAGCTGTTCTCAAACTCCAGTTTGGACACAACTACCGTGGTGCACGTTTCCAAATCACGATACGCCAACCCCATGCCCCTGAAGTTTACAACGTGAAAGCGGTAGCCACGGAGAGAAAAAGAGTATAGGTAAGCTGGTTATACATGACTCGAGTAGTATGGGTTATATCAGCCTTAGCAAAGCGAATGTCAAGGCTGAGCTGTTTGTGGACAAGGAAAGATGATAAATGCGTTCAGGCTATCCATCAGCGGGCTTGACCAGCATTTACTTGGATAATGTTGATATGGTGTGGAAAGGTTTGACCCTGGAGTTGGATGTTATGACGGGAGTCTTGAGAAGACTAAATATCTAAGGTTACAGCACCAAGCGCAAAGCATAACTCGTTCAAGTGTCGCCAAGGACATTGTTGCACGCTTTACACTGTTAACAACAATACATTACACGCTGCTTTTAGTTTTAATGAATTGCTGTTGTGTGTGTGCTTTGTTGGCAAAAGTCATCTTTGTGACGGGCAGTCATTTCCATTTCAAATCATTCAGTGAAGACTGAGCGAGAATCCTTGATGCGAGTACTTGGAGTTTGGTCGTGGGTCGATGAAGTATGAGAGGCTGCTGTCATCGATTTTGTTCGCATAAGGCTGTATGGAGAATGTCAATCAGTGGTGGTTTAATACCATTGTATACTTTACTGTATTAACAAAATTGTGGCTACTGGAAAGTAAGACAAGTTACGTGAACTTAATTTTAAAAGGGAAATTATATTGGAAGCGCCTGTATCATCGTTACCGGCAACCATTCTAGATTGCAATGTTGGATAACACGTTTTATTAATATGGAGTAAAAACACATTGCATTTACAATCTGGAATTGCCATGCAGCAACCACTGATTTGGTATTGTACCCTTTAAAGTGTGTGGTTGCTGACTTAGAAATAAATTGAATTTTTTTTTATTAAAGTTTGCAAAAAATACAACAATGTATTGGTCATTTGTATTCAATATTACACTTACACGAGGTAAAAAAAAATGGTTGCGTTAAGTAAAGAAGGCGCACTGTGTGCACGCCTCTGGTGCATCAACTCCGTGAGTGATCTTGAAAGTTTCTGCACAGCCCAACGTCAACGCGCTGCTGATGAGATGGTGCACGTGGAGTTTTGAGTGAAATGCCTCGTCGTCGCATCGTCCATTTTTTTTTAAACTGCGTTTCACAAAATAAAATAAAAACCCTCTGGCGCATTGTGTGATCGTCAGCACGAAGGTTCGGCGCTGTTTTAGCAATAAAAATTGTTTCTCCTAAAATTTTAATCTCGTGTGGTGCGTTCACTTTGCTGCAGCTGCCGAATGCACGAGTCTCCATCCAGGCTCTGGGATTTGTAATTGGCGTTAATTTCAGGGGTTCTCAGTAATTTTGTTTAGTTTCGAGGAAAATGTATTCCAGTTTTTAAAAAAATACGTTTTAAAATCAGGATGGATTAAAAATGTAGACAGTACATCCACAAAACCTATCTTAGCAATTGGACAAAAACAGTAGACTTCCAACTGTATTACTTTATATTTTGTGGATAAAATACCAAGTCAAAATGAGCTACACGTAATGAAGTCTATCCAATTCGTCCCACATACCCCAATTGGCACTGCATACCCCTCTGGTGACTGGTGCTCATGCCTAAAGCATCCACATATATATGTAATGCGAGCGTAAATGGGATTCCTGCTGGACTCTGGCCCAATCACACAGCCCGGTCTGGGGGGCGTGTGGGAGGGGCCGCCGTTCACCTCGGCTCCAATGGGAAGCGAGGTGAATGGGGGCGGAGCCAGCTGGGCAGTACGAGAAGGCCGGATCTGACGATCCGGAAGGGGAGGAGTCAGGGTCACGTGGGGGGAGAGGATATAAGTGGGAGCCCGGAAGAGATCGGGGTCAGTTGGGAAGTTAAGAGGCTGAGCCGCGTTGGGTGGTAAGAGGAGATCCGCGCCATCGGCCAAGTGGCAGAAGGACCTTCAGCACGCCGTCGGCCAGCGGAGTGCGGGAGTGGAGGAGCTAACGGAGGAGCGTGCGCGGCACGCGAGAGGAGACGCTGGTCCCTTGTCAGGACCAGCGGGGTGTGAGGAAGAGTGGAGGAGAGGACGAGGGAGCGCGTGCGGGGCGCGCGCGAGACGACGCTGGTCCGCGAAGGGGACCAGCGGGGTGCGGAGAAAGAACCTAAATAAAAGACCAACGGAGACCAGCAGTGCCTGACGGAGTCTTTTATTACATATATACACCTAGTAGCATCATAATGCTTAAGAGCCAGAGATCATGATCAGAATAGCCTGGCTCGCCAGAAGAAGGCAGTATAACAAAAATGTGGACTCCACATCAAAGCATGAAAAAATAAGAATAGGTTTTACCCCTTTTTTATTACACGCTTTTATTTAACTCACTCCGTCTGTTGTCGTATCCTAAAATCTTGTAACTCAATTTTAACCTACTTCCCAATGTGGTATCGACTGCAAACTTCGTATACGTATGTCTTACTGATGACAATACTATATTATATCATTAAAATACAATATTTTTCAACCATCTTTTATGTTATGTTTAGGCTTGGGTCTAATTGTCCACGCTCAATTGACGTTGGCTGTAAATCACCACGGTCCCTTACGTTATGGCAAGCTTCGGGGCCACTTCCTGGAGTCGTGGAGTTTTGCCATTACTCGTACGGTACATTTAATTAGAGCGTGTTTTTAAAAAAGTATTTTTAAATTTAACTTATTTTACCTATAAAAGGTATTTTTTGTCTGTCTGTGCGGCCCAAACTTGCGAAGGATTTGGCTCGCAAACCGTGGGGTTTAAAAAAGTAGCCAGGTAGCATGCCATAAGCCCCGTGCTGTGCCAGCGCTATTCCGATTTCGCGTCCGTCACCTTTAAGGTAGTTTAATTCGCGATTTAGTGCTGTTTCCGGTTATTTATTTATTAGCGAGCACGCTCAACCCTACCAAGTCACGCGTTCGGTGGGGGTGAGGGGCCATTTCTCTTTCGTGTGGACACTGAGCGAGGTAACACCGATTTACAGCTCCGTTCAAACATACATCTATTTTATTTTATTTCTGTTACCGATTTTTTTCAGAATACAGCGTACACTTTAAGCAATTTCTATGACAATTAATGTACACCATGTAACACGCTTTTTCCCCTGGGTACTATCTTATATTTAATTTCCTTAAGACAACAAAGTCCAGCCAATGCGTCTTTTTGCCCACAAAGTTTCCTGTTGTGAGCAGGACTTTACTCAAGAACTATTATCACTTTGTTTACATTTATTTCACGCTTTCGCTCGCCGATAATTTTTTAAACAAGATGTTTGATGACAGTACATGCACACTGTTACACGATTTTTTCCCCTGCAGACTGACGACTCTATTTCATTTCCTTAAGACAACAAAGTACAGCCATTGTCTTTTGCCTCACAAACTTCCCTCTTGTGAGCAGGACTTTATGTCATTAACTATTATCAGTTTGTTTACATTTATTTATCACTTTCGCTCGCTGCTATCTTTTTAAGCAAGATGTTTGATTACAGCAGATACGATGTAACACGTTTCTTTCCCCTGCATACCTACTCCATTTCATTCGCTGTATGTGTCAGTCCATGTGTGTGTGTGTGTCGGTAATCTAGCAGTAAGCGCGCTGCACCACCAACCCGCCGACCCCAGTTCCATTCCCCTCACGCCTAACACCGATGACGATTCTCTTAAATGGTCGTGAGCTTCCTCTAGGTCGCCTCGGCTTCAAATGATAACCTACTGTATGTTGTCGATGAGTTGAGAGTGAGCGCCTTCTTTCCACTGAACTTAATCAAAAACGCCTGCGTGTAGAACAGTATGCTCATCCCAGGGACGCTATCAATGCTGACGTACATGCAAACACTCAGAATGTGGGCAGATGAGTTATTTTGCCTTCATCCTTCACAGGTGGACCAAGATACATGTGTAATGAGAGAGCGCCACCTGAGGGACGACGAAGGGCTGCATAGGCACTGCTGGGTTATTCATAGCCAATCGGAGGTAAGGGTTCCATCTGGGCCAAAGGTAATGGGCGGGGCTCGTGGGTACTTTCAGGAAGGGTCGGGGAGGTTCTAGGAGGGGCATGACTAGAGGCGGAGCTTAGCTCCGCCGGGAGCAATATAAGGAGAGGCAGTGAGAGGACTCGGGGTCGGTGTGGAAGCCTGGAGTCTGGACTGCATCTTCGCCCACCTCGTCACACCACCGGCCACATGGCAACCTCTACCGGCGAAGCCCTCTCTACTCCCTGCGCGCCGCCAGCCAGCAGTGAGAGAGAGCGAGCAAAGCCGCGCCGCAACGGAGGATGAGGGAATGCGCGCATTACGGCAGTGGAGAGAGAGTGAAACCATCTGGAAGGGGGGTGCGGAGCCGAGCAGTAATTGTTAATAAAAGAAAGACACAAGTCTTAACCCATCGTGGAAGTGCTTTATTACACATGTGTAATGGGTTCCGGAGACACTTGTAGAGGTAACTCCTTTATTACAATACAACACTCCAACAGCCCTGATACTCTGTAACAGCTCCCAGGTACACAGCCTAGGTACACAGCCTAGATACTCTACTCTGGCTACGCTCTGGAACTCGCCCTCACAAGGTCGTAGAGTCGGGAGTTCCACTGGCTCTCACAGCGTCCCAGGGTCCTCCGATGGCTGGTCTTGGGTATTGGGTCTTGAGCTCCGACTGGGCCCTGATTGTCCAGGGAGCTCCCCTTTTATGCCTGGTCCAACGAGGGGTGGGGCCGTGTGCGCCACCAGACATCCCACAGAGCACACACAGCCCCCCCCCCCCCCCCCCCCCCCCGTTGGCGGCGCCAAGAGGCTTAAGGGCCTAGGAACCCAACGGCTGGTGCCAAGAGGCTTAAGCGCTTGGCCCACCCAGGGTCCCAGAGCCCCCAGCAGCCCCTCCCTTCTTATGTCACTACACATGCATGAGAAGATTCAGGATGCCATGACGTACATCAGCCAATATGGCAGGCCCAATCTCTATCACCTTCACTTGCAATCCTAAGTGTAAGGAGATCCAGGTTGAGCTTTATCCAAACCAAAAGCCAACAGACAGACATGACATTATTGCAAGGGTCTTCAAACTCAAAGTTGATGAACTCATGAGGCTTATTATGACTAAGGAAGGCCGCATCTTTGGAATGTCAAGATGTAACTTGCACACCAATGAGTGGCAAAACATGATCTTCCTCATGCTCACATATTGCTATGGATGAAGAAAAAAATTAATGCAAGTGACATTGACACATTTATCAGTGCTGAGCTACCTAACCAGAATCAAGACCCTGTACTATTTGATGTGGTCTGGAAGCAAATGGTCCATGGCCCATGTGGGGAGTTCAATCCAAATTCGCCATGTATGCAAGACCGCAGGTGTACCAAGAAGTATCCACAAAACTTCTTGAAAAACACTCAGTCAGGCCATGATGGCTATCCTCTACATCGTTGCAGAAATACTGAGCATGGTGGATTTGAAACAACGCTCAGACCTGGCACTAACTCTGAAATGAAGGTTGACAACGAGTGGATCGTTCCCTACTGCCCTCTTCTGTGCAAGATCTTTGAGGGCCACATAAATGTGGAATTCTGCAATTCTGCGCAAGCCATCAAATATGTTTGCAAATACATCAACAAAGGCTCTGACATGGCTGTCTTTGAATTCTTGGTTTCCCATCCATGAGTGTTCCCCCACAGTCGTCCATTTGGCAGTTCACCTCGAAAATGGTCAACGCATCTACTTCACCGAAGGAAATGCCCAACAACATGCCCTGGCACCACAAGATACCACCCTGGTGGCGTTATTTGTTTTGTGCCAAAGTTACCCATTTGCTGCCAACCTGCTCTACCATGAAGTTCCCTCCTACTATACATGGACTGCTAAAAAAATGGAAACGACGTGCTGGTGACGGTTAATCTGATGCCTTAGGAAGAGTCTACACAGTTCATCCCAACAATCAGGAGTGCTGCTTTCTCCGAATACTTCTCCATGTTGTCAAAGGGCCCAAATCTTTCGAAGACCTCAAAACAGTGCAAGGTCTGTCAAATATACAGAGAAGCTTGCAATGTTTGTGGAATTCTTGATGATCAGCATCTTGATAAAGTTATGACAGAAGCTTCTGTTAGTCAGTCCCCTTCTCAACTGAGATTGCAGCCCATCTAACCCCATGGGACTCTGCCAAAAATACAGAGGGCATGCGTGAGGACATCCTCCACAGAGCTCAACGAGAAAATCCAAACCTTGATATCACCTTTTCT